ATCTTGATCCATTCCCTTTAATTTTCCAAAAATACTGTTCATTTTTTATATCACCCTAGAAAATCTAACAAAATTTCATTCTTATTTAATCGAGAGTTTTCGTAGGGGACTCTATCTCCCTACGATTGTAATTAATAGAGGGCTTGCGCTCGTAGGATATTTGGAACCACACACACTTGATTTCAAAATTAATCTTTTTTTTAAAAAAAATTCTTCTTAGATTTCTCTTGGAAAAAAGTTAAAGAACGATTTTGTTAATCATATAGAAGAAATTATCATTGAGAGGTGTTTATCTCCCTTTAGGAGATACATCCTTCTTAGATAAGGCTTTGGATATGGAATTTCGACAATCATACTCTTGAATATCACAACTGGATATTTAGTTAAACTTTACCAAGTCCCCTGGGGCCGTGTGAATTTCTCTTTAGTATCTAGCCATGATATCCAAGACGAATTAATAATTTCTAAGTCTGAACCCATTATGGAATTTATTTTCATCCTTGGGCGATATACTTTTTCGAAGAGTTGATTGACTTTTAGAATTAGAATTCAATCTCAATTTTAAAATTTCCAAGAAAACTAATATTTTTCAAAACTGTTTTCAAAATATCACCAACAGTAACTGCCGCCATAGATAATTAAGGTATATTGTATTTTAAATTATCGGCAGACGATCCTGATCGGCCTGGAAGATATTCACAATTATGTCTTAATTGATAGGAAATCAAGGGAGTAATTAAGGATGATTGATACGATCATATCGTTCCTGGGATCGCAAGATCGGCCAGGACGATCCAGTCAAAACCTTAAGTTACTTCAGGACGATAAAATATCGGCCAGCTCATATCCCAGGGCTATTCTCAGGACTGATTTTCCTCTGATTTGAACTGATCAGCCTTGGACGATCAAGCCAAATTTTCAATCGTCCAGGAGTGTATCCAGGGCGATGCTCTGGCCGATCTTCTGAGTTTTGTACTGATCGCCAGGCCGATGTCGCATATCGGCCTGGACGATTAAAGTCGGAACTTGTAATTAATGGCTCCTTGAAGCTCTTCTATTTAAGAGCTCATGTCAACATTTGGAAGACCTTTGGCTTCTGCCTTACCTGAGAAGACCTTGAGGAGAGAAAGAGAGAGAGGAGAGAGAGAGAGGATCTTTGTGAGGGAGCTTGTGAGGG